GGAGAGAGAAGAACTGAGTGAAGTGGAGGAGAAACATCACAACGAACCTGGAGGAAAACCTTCGAGTCACTCGAAGACTAAAAATATATTTTTAAAGAAAAGAAGAGCCAAGAAATCTTTCACCTGCACTCAGTGTGGGAAGAGTTTCCCATTCAAGCAAAGTCTTGAGTGGCACATGAGGATTCACACTGGAGAGAAACCATTCACATGTGATCAGTGCGGAAAAAGTTTCACACACAAAGGACATCTTAAAAATCACATGAGGATCCACACCGGAGAGAAGCCGCACGCATGTGATCAGTGCGGCAAAACATTTATCGTGTCATCAAACCTCAAGACACACCTGACAGTTCATACGAAGGAGAAGCCGCATTCATGTTCTGTGTGTGCAAAGAGTTTTTCACAGCTGAGCAATTTAAAAGTACATCAGAAAATACATGCTGATGTGAGAGATTATATGTGCTTTGAGTGTGGGAAGACATTTATTTCAGCATACAGATTAAACCTGCACCAGAGGAGCCACACTGGAGAGAAACCTCACAAGTGTTCACACTGTGACAAGAGTTTCAGTCAGTCATCAAATCTGAATGCACATGAGAAGATCCACAGCAGAGAGAAGCCACACACGTGTGATCAGTGCGGGAAAAGCTTCACTTTTAAAAGTCAGCTGAAGATACACACGAGGATGCATGCAGTGGAGAAACCAGATCACCACAGTCTGAGATCACGGTCAGTAGTTCATGTTCATGGGCGGAGAAACAAGGTGTCTTCTGTGGAAGAGCTGTGACGAGCGACAGGACATTTTGTTGGAGGCTTGGTATCTGCTTCAAAAGTCTCACATTGTTATGAAGTATTGAGTTGTAATTAACTCGTTCCCCGTCAGCGTTTAAAAAAATTTTTACCAGCCACCACCAGCATTTTTGAGCATTTAAAGTTTCATTGCCCCCAGAATATCCTGTTGTATGAATATCTGAACATGCAATACATCAAAATAAAGACCGAAGTCTCTAGTTTTAAACAAAAAAAATCTGTTTTATTCTAACTTCATTCGGACTTACTCAACTACCTTTTCTTAAATTGGCCTACTCAGTAATACAAGTAATACAAAGAATACAAAATATTTCAGAAAAATTAAATATTTGCCATATGCAATTCATATATTGTACAATATTCTTGTTACATCACACTTATATTCGTACTGTCATTACATGCCACAGTTTAATGGGTAAATTAATTTATCAAAGAGAGAAACTCAATAAACACACACTGTTTGGTTATTATTTGTGCATGTAACATGAATCGATTCGTATGACGGAGCTGCTTTCATTGGCTTTTGGCTGCTTTATTTTTTACTTGCCACCAGATAGCGCTGTTTCTGATACTCTCGAAGCATTGAATCTTTTCCCGAAACAGTCAGAGGTAAGTCTTAAAAGGCATCATTTAACCACCACTAAACAAACAATAATTAACATAATATTATTTGTGAGGTGTGTGATCCCTAAACTGTCCGGGTTTTGTTTGACGGCATCATATTACTAGTATTATGTTAACTAGAAATTCAATTTTTGAAATTTGTGAATCAATGCGAATCGCTAGAAGACTGAATTTCTCTGAATCTGAAATATTTATCGTTAATCTCACATCATGTCTATTAAGAATTAAATTTTATTTTTTTGGCAGAACTACCAGAAATGAATCGGAGTTGAATGCAGAAGGAGAGAACAGAGAGAAGATGAGAGATCCAGAACCTGCAGAATTGAAACATCATGGTACTTAGGAACAAACAGGTTGGTGTTTATTCTCCATTCCTCATTCATCATGCTGAAGAAGCCTGTGTTGTGGAGTAAACGAGGTGATTGCTTACAGATTACATGCCAAGCCTGCGCCATCTAGAGTTTCATGACCAAACTAGTGATTTGATGGGATTGAAATGAGTCTTGCAGTCATTAGTGATATTGACTTTGGGCTTCACTTTCTTTCTCATTTGAAAACTAACATGATTTAATGTTTCTTTTAGACCTGAGAAAGGAAAACAAGAAGCAAAAGATAAATCTGTCCCCTGCCCTCAGTGTAAACAAGATGCCCATATAAATCAAGTCTGAAGATTCACATGTGAGTTCACACCGGGAAGAAGCCCTTCACCTGTGGTCAATGCGGGAAGAGATTAACAAGTAAACGAAACCTCAAGAATCACATGAGGATCCACACCGGAGAGAAACATTACAGCTGTGATCAATGCGGGACGAGTTTCACTCAAGCTTTTGTTCTGAAATCACATCTGCCTTCTCATTCTGAAGAAATTAATTTTGTTCGGCTTCGGCCAAGAATTTTCATTTCAGTGCATCCCTAGAAATTTCTATTACGATTGTGATTGTTCGCAGTGTCATGGTGTCACGTGTAGGTTCCCGTTGAGTTCCTGTTTTCCTTATTTGGTCCTTCCTGTTCCTGTCCCAATGTAGTTTGATTTGTTCAAAGCGTGTCTCATTATTAGTTATCCTCCTCACCTGTCTGCCCCTCGTTATCTGCCCTATTTAGTTCTCGCCTGTTCTGAGTCTCTTTGTCTGGAATTGTGTTTGTCAACTCCTCGTGCTACGTGTGATTCCCTCAAAAAAATAATTAAACTCCTTTGTTTTGTACTCCTGGTCTCCTCGTTCCTCGCTCCTCACAGTAGAGACCTGTGACAGAATTCCAGACCTAAAGTGACAGTAAGCGGCGCCCCTTCTACCCATGTTTGTTTTATGTTTTTTTAATAGTTACTTTGTTTTTCCCCCCGTTCGTTTCTCCCCGTTCATATGGAGGAACGAGCGAGGTTCCTCGCCTTGGCTCATACGAGCCCGACCCGATTGTTTTTGCGTAGGCGTTCGTGCCGCTTGCCCTCGCCAGCTCCCTTGAGGGAGAACCAAATCGGGATAACCTACTATCGTCCCACGGAGCTCCCAGACACCAACCTCGGCTGGAAGGAGGCAGTCATCCGGTGTCTGGAGAGCTTCCGATCCCGATCCGGGACCCATCTGCCGGCCGTTCCTCAGGCAAGCCCGTCGGACGTTAATGTGGCAAGCCCGCCATGCGTTCATGATGCTCCAGTGTCGGCTCCAGTCCCAGAGCTCGCTCCAGTGTCTGCTCCAGTCCCAATACTCACTCCAGTGCCAGCTCCTCGAAAGCGCTTTTTTGGGCCTGCTCCTCCACAGCACCCTCCAGTGCCAGCACCACGTAAGCACTACCCTGATCCCCAGTTCAGCCCAGGAAGGGCTCCTGATCCCGAGTCAAGCCCAGGGAGGGCTCCTGGTCCCCAGTCAAGCCCAGTATCGGCTCCTGATCCCCAGTCAAGCCCAGTATCGGCTCCAGCCCCAGAGCTCGCTCCAGTGTTGGCTCCAGCCCCAGAGCTCGCTCCAGTGTCGGCTCTAGCCCCAGAGCTCGCTCCCGTGCCCGCTCCTCCAGAGTGCCCCCCAAATTCCTAGATTTCCCCAAGAAAATTGGGGGGGGGGGCCATATACCCGTGGCCGAGCCAGCTAAGGCAACGGAGGATTCGCCATGGCCTCCTGATTCCCCTGCTCCGCAATGGCCTCCTGAGTCCCCTGCTTCGCCATGGCTCCCTGATCCGCCCTGGAGGCTCTCCTTGTCTCCGCCCTGTTCCAGTCTTGCACCAGCCTCCAGGGCGCCTGCCCCCTCCTCCCTCATGGTACTGTTACCGTCCGGGAGGGGGCGATCGGTCACGTGTAGTTTCCCGTCGAGTTCCTGATTTCCTTATTTGGTCCCTCCTGTTCCTGTCCCAATGTAGTTTGATTTGTTCCAGGTGTGTCTCATTACTAGTTATCCTCCTCACTCGTCTGCCCCTCGTTATCTGCCCTATTTAGTTAAAAATTGATGTATTTTGTTTTCAGATTCTTGCTACCCCCTGAGGGTGTTTACATTTGCATTTATGCATTTGGCAGATGTTTTATCCAAAGAAATGTTCCCAGCATTCAAGGTGTAAATTACTATCTGTTCAAGCATTATGACTTCACTGATAAAATGCCTGGTCTTGGCATTGTGAGTTCCATGCTCCACTGCTTGGGCTTCACCAAAGTGCCTGCACACACACACACACACACACACACACACAAAAGGAATTTGTCATTTGTCGCACAACAACAACACATAATAATGAATAATATTTTTGAAACATGTAAGACACATTGGGCCTCATTTACGAAAAGAACGTACGACAGAAAATTGGGTGTATGGTCGTTTCTACGCAAAACTTGGACATGAGTGGTGGCTACGATCAAATCTCATGTCTGGTCTCAGTTCATGTACGCAAGTTTTTGAGTTATCTGAACTTGTGCACAGCATAGTAAATACAGTGGAGAATTGTACAACCCGAATTCCGGAAATGTTGGGATGTTTTTTAAATTTGAATAAAATGAAAACTATCAAATCACATGAGACAATATTTTATTCACAATAGAACATAGAGAACATAACAAATGTTTAAACGGAGAAATTTTACAATTTTATGCACAAAATGAGCTAATTTCAAATTTGATGCCTGCTACAGGTCTCTGTGGCTCTGCTGAGGCACTATTGAGCCTTCAGCTTGTCTGTATTGTTGGACTAACTTTCTCATCTTTCTCTTGAAAATATCCCATAGATTCCATATGAGGTTCAGGTCAGGCATGTTGGCTGACCATGATATTACTGTGCTTGATTGGCCAGCCAACATGCCTGACCTCAGCAGTGCCACAGGCTGATTCTGGAGTTTATGCTAAAGGAGCCCCGACCTAGGGCTAAGCGATATATAAAAAAAAATTATATCTCGATATTGTCAAATTTGTTACGATATTCGATATATATCTCGATATGTTTGCAGTGAACTGCCTGTCAGAAATCATAGCACGTCAGCTGTCTCAACCGTACTGCATCATCACTGTGTCTGTCACTCTGTTGCCCTTTCGAGCTTGAACTGATGGTAAAACTAACCACATTATTAACTGTCTTGATATTTATTTTGAAAGCTGACGCTCGTGATTATGTTAAGGGGTGTTACATTTCCGATTCGTGCTTGTGGTGTTCGGCCAATCACAATGCACTGGGTCAGCTGGCCAGTCAGAGCAGACTGCGCTTGTCAAAGGAGGGGGCTTTGTTGAAAACGAAGCGTTTGAGAGAGGCGGGGCATAGAGGACCTACATTAATGTACAGTATTTGAAAAATAATGTGTTTTTGAACATTAAAGCATGCCAACATATTCTGTTACACCAAATACACAAAATAATGATCTTTAAAATAGCATCATATGACACCTTTAAATAATAAAAAAACATGATTTTCTTTTGTCCCCATTAAAAAAACAACAAAAACAATTCAGATAGAACAGCTATTGTTACAAAGTAAATACAAAATGTTTAGTGCAAATTTAAGCAGTTAAAAAAAATCAATCAAAATCTTACCTGGGCTAAGGAGACGAAGAACTGGACTGTTGCCCAGTGGTCCAAAGTCCTCTTTTCAGATGAGAGCAAGTTTTGTATTTCATTTGGAAACCGAGGTCCTAGAGTCTGGAGGAAGGGTGGGGAAGCTCATATCCCAAGTTGCTTGAAGTCCAGTGTTACGTTTCCACAGTCTGTGATGATTTGGGGTGCAATGTCATCTGCTGGTGTTGGTCCATTGTGTTTTTTTAAAACCAACGTCACTGCACCCGTTTACCCAGAAATTTTGGAGCACTTCATGCTTCCTTCTGCTGACCAGCTTTTTGAAGATGCTGATTTCATTTTCCAGCAGGATTTGGCACCTGCCCACACTGCCAAAAGCACCAAAAGTTGGTTAAATGACCATGGTGTTGGTGTGCTTGACTGGCCAGCAAACTCACCAGACCTGAACCCCATAGAGAATCTATGGCGTATTGTCAAGAGGAAAATGAGAAACAAGAGACCAAAAAATACAGATGAGCTGAAGGCCAATGTCAAAGAAACCTGGGCTTCCAATGGTGCCTGCAACGCGTCCTGCCGCAAGACACTTCAACGCATAGTGAGAGCAGCTGAGAATATCGTTGGTGCCTCTCTCCCCTCCCTCCAGGACATTTACAACACCCGTCTCACCCGCAAAGGCCTCTGCATCGCAGGTGATCCCACCTACCCGACACACAGCTTCTTCACTGAAGGACAGCTTCATCCATCAGGCTGTCAGGAAGCTGAACTCCCTCCTGACCTTGCCCCCCCTCCCCTCTTTTGCCCCACGCACCACTGAACTCTGACCCTCTGATGGACTCTCCCACTCCCCCCTCCCAAATACACACGCACACTGTCACTTTAATCAGTCTAAATAATCTCTTTTGCACTACAAATCATTGTATCTGCACTGTTGTTACTTCACTGGTTTGCACTCTATCTGCCATGCGCCTTGTGCTGCTTTATATATTTTTTATATTTTTTTAAATTTTTACCTTATTTGTATAGTTGTATTTTATGTTTAATCTGTATCTATCTGTATTTATGTTCTACTGTTAGTGTTATCTGTATGCACCAAGGGTCTGAGAATAATGCAATTTTGTACATGTGGGAGAATTGACAATAAAGCAGACTTGACTTGACTTGATATATATATATATATATATATGAAGAGTTTATTTGCAAAAACAGATTAAGTTTTTTATTTTATTTTTAAAAATCATGTTTTTTTTATTATGTTATCATGTTTTTATTGTATTTTATTGTGTTAGCTGTATTTTTTAACTAATCAAAATTGTGATTAATTGGAATGCACAATGAAAAAACATGATTGTTAAATTTTTTTAATATATATATATATATATGAAGAGTTTATTTGCAAAAACAGATTAAGTTTTTTATTTTATTTTTAAAAATCATGTTTTTTTTATTATGTTATCATGTTTTTATTGTATTTTATTGTGTTAGCTGTATTTTTTAACTAATCAAAATTGTGATTAATTGGAATGCACAATGAAAAAACATGATTGTTAAATTTTTTTAAAAATTTATAATATTTATTTATTTTATATCTATATGCACATAAACTCATTTTGATTAAGAAAAAAATAACAACATGTATTTGTTTTATTTTTAACTCAACTTACTAATAAAATGTTATTATTTAAGAGTTGTCAAACTGTAATGAAGTTATTATATTTACCTGAGACAGATGGAAAGCCAGTTCTTTGAACGGATGAGTTTCTTCATTCCTTGTTGCTACTTTCTCATGAAGTAGTTCTAATAGTTCAAGGGTTAGCCTGAAGTAGCTCTTGAACCTGAGGGTCGTTGTTCTTGAATCAAATGAAGACAGTCTCCCTGCTCTTCTCGGTTAAGGAGTAGTTCATGTACACATTTTGTCCTCCTTTTTCTTATGATCAAGAAGGCTCCCGCAGAAGCCTGTGACCTGGCCGCATGATCCAGGAAGTATGAAGCCGAAACCCGGCTTATCGTACCGTCTGGACATATATCGACGAGTGAAATAAACACTGCAAG